TCTCACGTAGCGACAAACTGATGGTACTTCAGATTCGTTTGATTTCAAACTACAATTGATTTATCAATAGAGTTGTCGAAGAATTATTTTGTCGATATCGGTGTAGAACAATAGCCAACAACGATCTCGCTGCACTTCACATTTGCTCTGTTACAAACTTCGATTCATTTACCAGCAGAGCATCTGAAGAATTATTTCGCACATTGATCATCTAGAAAAAAACGAAGAAGAGATGGAATTGTAATAACATTTTTTGTTGCTCGTCGAGAGCCGTTCTTAAACATTTTGCAGGAATTTTCCCTTCGCAGGAAGATCTAAAAATGGCCACTTTTGACGCTCTCTTTTCATCCCGTATGAATTTATTTTCGATATTACCGATTGATAATAATGTCACTGCGATATTGTCCGCAATGATTGCAAATTATCTTCTCCGCGTTTCAACTATATCGATAATAAAGAATATCGAACAGCAATTACTTAATTACACGTTGTTGTTGACTTTATTAATTTTTACGATAAAGTGCATTCTCCGGAAGAGATTTTACGATTTACGATTTTCTTTTTCATTCCTCCTTTCACCTACGATGGTCCTTAAACAAGAAACGATATCGTAACGAGAAATACAACTTACCTGAGCGTCCACTTTGGTTCCACTAGTGTCGTCCCATACGACTTTGTGTCTGACGTCGCTGTTAGGGGACGTTTTACCCAACGTTTCCTTCACCGCCTTCACTACCTTCGATTTATCGAATTTAAGGCTTAAGCTGGCCGTTATTAAATCTTCCGGCTTCTGTTTCTTCGACATCGGTTGGTGTCTCTTCGTGAACCAATTCGACGGTGCCATAATGGTCGAAGCGGCAGCTTTCGAGGATCCGCTAAGCTTACCCTTGGCTCCGTGCAATATCGACACGTCGAAGCTGTTGGAACGGAAGCTCTTCAATCGATTTCGTTTCTGTTCGGCCGTTTTTCCGGACCAGCTTGATTTGCTATCGTCCCGCGAACTCGACGCTTCCTCGCCGCATCGGTTAATTTCCGTCGCGGAAGACGCTAACGAGCTTAGGATCGATATCAGATCCGTATTGGAGCAGACGATGCCCGCAGCACCGGAAACCGATGCACTCACGGCTCTTGGCAGTTCCGAGACGCGCCTTCGGAGAGAAGACGTCGGCGAAACCGACGGAGCAGGCATTTCAGAGAATCGTCGTTTCGGATATTGAGTGTAACGTTGAGCGGAGCTGTTACCTTCCAGCGGCTGTATCTCGCACACTTGCTCCGTCGACGTCTTGTACATCTTTAAGCGTACCTGGCAAACGGATTGCTTTTATTCGAAAGACAGTTTCTTTCTTATCATAATTCATGCGTTACGATACATGTTTCGATGATCGAGCCGTTAAGCGTGACAAAGCGATGGAACAGTTTCGCACAGAAATTCCAATTCTAAAATTATCTTAGGGATTCTAGGGCGTGATAACATCTTGGAACGCAAAGTTATCGATGTGTCGATGAAAGTTAAGCGAGCTTTATCGAAGCACACACGTTCGAGTCTTTTAGCGATTGCTAGGAATACGCGTAATGTTCTTTTCTGTGATCCGAGAAGTTGAACGACTACAAAAGGCGTATGCAGAGCATTTCGAAGCGGAAGAAGAGGCAGATTATTTAATACGTAATATCTTCTTTTATAACGTATCTAATATCCTAATAATTAGATGGTCGTAATATAAATGTTTAGAATCAGAAATTATCTGTTTATTTAGAGATCCGTTTGATGCAAGATCTAAAATCAATCAAATCGGATTGTACGGACGTATTTGTCTCTGCTAATCCTTTGACGTCGATACCAACTATGTATATAGCGAATGACGGTTACCAGCCAAGATTATGAGCACGTAGGGAAGAAGAGAACTGAACGCTTGCTGTTTCGATAACGACGATCCATAAAAATCCGAACTCTAACAAAGAAACGCGCGATAACGAATACAGCACGTATTCTTTCGTATGTTCTCAATGAATATGTATAAGTTTGCTCGTAACAGAGTTGAAAAATGCCCGTAGCGTTCCAAGATCGAACAACGTTCGTGTCGCGCGAGAGTTGAACAATATCTGAACCGCTCGAACGTTAACAAGTATCTTTCTCTGTGTTCTCCTAGTAATATTCGAGGTGTGAATGTCGCGAGTGTCACGACCAGCCTTTCACGTGCTCTTGGCGCTCCTTCTCTTGGCAAAGATTCGACGCTACTTGAACTAACGCGAGATGTTAGAGTTTTCCGAGAAGATCACGATATCTCTGCGGGTTAGGAAATTCGGCAACTCGTACCGCTGTAATATAATTCCAAGTTACCCTGCGGAGATATCGAGTTTACGAGACGTCCCTGGCGATCGAGCGCGGAATGAAGCAAAATTCTAAAAAGTACGCTCTATGTTGTTGCTTAATAATTTATGATTCCAATTGAAAAATAAGCTTCTTCGCGACCATGCTATAAGCTTCACCGACGAACACGTGCTTCCTTAGCGAGGCTCCTGACGAACAAGGAATGAAAACCATGGCGATTCGATTCGTCCGTAATTTTAACTGTTAATTTTCGCCTAATTAATAATTGTTCTAACTTCATCTAAAAAAGAAGAAAAAAAAGTAATTGATGAATCAACGTATACATACATTGTTATAAAGAACGATACGATGTAAATAATTGTAAGTTACAAAGAATAAAATAATAAATAATACGATGAAAATTGTATACCTGGAGAGCAACGAATATTCGGTTCTTTGAAATCCTAATTTCGCACGATCGTATAGAACTTCATCGACTTTAAACTCGGTTTTTCTCAACTGTAAACTAGCAAAACTCTGCAAACTAGCGGAGATAGAGCGGCCAAAATAAACGAAAAATCCTTACCTTCCTCGCTTTCATCTCTGCGATATCGTCCATAATGTCCAACTGAAGATTGTGCGTGCTTCCACTGTTGCTCGGTGGTCCGGATATTCTAGACTCTGAGTCTCGACGACTCGGCAATATTCTGGTCGCGCCTCCAAGAGGAAAAGCGGCGATTGATTCGCGACGATTACGGCCAAACAGAGTCGGTGGCACTCTGGCAATCGTAACAACCGAATGTCTTCGGCCACCTGGTTGAGGAGCTGGTGCTTGAGAGAGAGTGGACAGGAAAGCAGCTTCCCTCGGCGATGGCCCCGATCCTTCTCCG